GAAACATGAAACTCTTAGTTGGAATGGATACCACAAATATGAATTATAGCTTGATAAAGAAAATGAATGGCTATGTTTTAACTATGCCGTATATAACAATAATGAAACAATATTTTCAATTTCATCGTTTTTTCCCTACCAATTGTGCTGTTTTAAAATTTCTTGAACAATATTGTTTTGATGTAGGTATCTGCAGCTATCATGTTTGATTTGGGGATCGCGTCATGCTTAGAGTATTTGGAAGCCGTTCCATGGTCTGAGGATGAAGAGGAGAAAGTCCTTTATAATATCAGCCAACTTCAGCTTGAGGAATCGGCGAGTGAAGTTCTGCTGAGAGTGTCATCTGAACCGTCCACCTCAGCACAAGCTGATGTCATCCTATTGAGATTGCTGACTGGCGTTCTTCAGGCGAAAGATGATAAAGCTCGTCGGGAAATGAAATCTCTTATTTCTCGGCTGCTCAGAGAAGATGAGCCTAGCAATAACAACAGGATTGACATCTCTAAAGACACCCTCTATCATCTTTGCCATAGGTGTATTAGTTCTCTTGTTCTATGCCTATCAGAAGCTACAAGTGCAGATGAAACTTGCCGGGATCGAGGAGTTTTGATGGGTGAAATAGCTAGAGAGGCTGACAATATGCAATGGATTGTTGACATTCTGGTGGAAAAAAAGATGGCAGATGAGTTTGTGAAATTGTGGGCAGATCAGAAGGAGCTTGCAATCATGCATTCTAAGATTCCTACCATGTATCGGCACGAAATCAGCAGAATAACTGCTCAACTGTGCATAGCAATAGGCAGAGGCCATATTTTGGTGCCCCAAGATGCACGGTTTTCTTTGCTGTCTACATGGCTGGAAGCTCTTTATGAGGACTTTGGATGGATGAGAAGGGCTAGTAGATCTGTTGATAAGAAGTTGGTCGAAGACGCGCTCGGTCAAACAATTCTTACACTGCCGTTGCCACAGCAACAGACCATCTTGCTTAATTGGTTCGATCGGTTTCTTAATAAGGGAGATGACTGTCCCAACTTTCAAAGGGCATTTGAAATTTGGTGGAGAAGAGCTTTCATAAGAGAATATATGTCCGAGCGGGACAATTCTCAGTTACAAATAACAATTTGCGATTATTCCAACTGAAAGGTATCGTTAAACCATGTTATAGAAGGAAAATAAAATAGCAATTCAAGTTTTATATATACGTATATAACAATTCTTTTTCGTTGGAGTTTTCTTATTTTTCCTGCTCAAGTCCGCTTGGACTTTTTGTTCTCGAAAAATTTTCTTACAGAGGCAAATGCTCCTTTATGAAAAACGATGAATGGATAATGAGCTTTTGAGGTGTATAATGAGGCAATAGTCAAGTTCCACATCTTGTACTTGCTACTGAAAAATCTCACATATTGTACTTGGATAATTTATTTTGAAGTGAGATAACTAAGCAGCTTCTCAAGAAGAGATGCTGGCAAAAAAAACAATGGATAATGAGCTTTTGAGGTGTATAATGAGGCAATAGTCAAGTTCCACATCTTGTACTTGCTACTGAAAAATCTCACATATTGTACTTGGATAATTTATTTTGAAGTGAGATAACTAAGCAGCTTCTCAAGAAGAGATGCTGGCAAAAAAAA